TCTCTCTCTTTCTCTCTCTAAGATTTCACTTCTCACTTCTGTATAAAATTTTCAGCCCCTGCCTCCTATTTATAGGCAATCTAACGCACCCGGAACGGCCCGTACTGATTTTGGAACGGCCCGTTCCGGATCCTTCAAACAATGGCAAATTTTTCAGCTGGAACGGGCCGTTCCAAAATTGAAACGGCCCGTTCCCAAAAAAGCAGAACAGCCCGTTCTGAAACTGGAACAGTCCGTTCTCAATCTCAGCAGAACAGCCCGTTCTCCCTCCGGAACGGCCCGTTCTCCATACCAGAACGGCCCGTTCCAGGCCCGTTTTGGGACTACAAAAACCTCACATTTTCAACATTTGGAACAGCCCGTTTCACTTTTGGAACGGCCCGTTCCGGAACCCAAAATACCTCTATAACTTTATTAAAATTACAAAAATGCCATTAAAATAATAATAATAAAAAATTGGGTGTTACACTAGTATAATAATAAAAATATTTAGAAAATTAAAGTGGTGATAATTTGTTTTTTCATTATCTAAAATTAAACAAATCCTTCACAATCTTATTCAAATCATAACATCCCATCATAATGAAACTAACTCTTACAAGAATCAATTCCTAGAATAAAATTTAAAATTTATTTAAAAGAAAAATCAGATACTAAATACATGAACCAACAATTCCAACCGATATAATATAATATCTTGTATAATATATTAATATTGAATGATTGAATAAGACTTTTTTTTAAAATTATTTTAGATAATATTTTTATAAGATTATACTTCACATATTAGTTCAAATTCAGCTGATTGACTAATTTTAAAGAAAAGATCTTTCAATTTTTTTAATATATATAAATCAAATTCCTTATCACGTAATAAATAGGATTGCTATCCTCCAGTTTTTCATGTAGCAACTAAAATATTATTTAAATATAAAAATATTATCTTTTATTCATGATAATATATAGAATTAGAAATACTATATTTATTTTAAAAATATTATAATATAAAATAAAGATTATTGGTATAAAAAAATTACTTAATTTATATAGAAAATCACTATTCCAAAATGAGAGTGATGATCATATGAAATATTATCTTAAACATAAGCACAAAAGACTGAATCACATTAATTTAATTTGAAATAATTAATGAATATTTATTGAGATAACCTGAAGAAACTTAACTAGGTTGAATAAATTTTTGTAATTGTTAGTCTTTTTGTTTGTTCTTTTATATTATGTGTATAGAGGAGTTTTTCTTCCAGACACTTTACCATAATAATCCTAAGAAAAGAATGGTTATCCTAATATTGCAAATATTTATCTTCATATGTTATATTAAATAGTAGATATAATACTTGAACATGAATATGAATATAAAAATTTTATACATGTTAATTGTTACAACAAAGCTATATTTCGAATAGAAGATTTATATATAAGTTCCATGAAAATTGAGCAGATATATTAAAACGGATTTTCTGATTTAAAATAATACTAATTAAACATTATTTCATGATCCACAATTCGAATAAGATGAAGCAATATATTAAAACGGTTCTTCTAACTTACAACAATACTAATTAAATATTATTCCATGATCGATAATTCAAATAAAATGAAGCAGGTATATTAAAACGACATTTTTGACTTGCAACAATACTAATTAAACATTATTCATGATCGAACAATTTGAATAAAATGGAGATTAAAAGATTTTGAAAGACAAACTATTTGAACCATACCACCGAAAAACTATAAGAGAATTCTTGAAAGAAAATCTATTTAGACCATACCACCCAAAAACTAATGAAACATCAATAGTGCGTTTGGATGAAGAATTTATATGAAGTAATTAATTTATTTGAAGAATTTCAATTTTTTTTGGGTGAAATACCTTGTTTGGATAGGAAATTTATAAAAAATTTGAAATTCGTTGAAATAGTAGAATTTCAAATTCTCTCAAAAGAGTAAGAATTTGAAATTTCTTATATATTTTTTTTCTTATTTCACTTATATATTTTATCTTATCTCTTATCTCTTCATGTTTTTAATTATTAAATATTCAAAAATATATTTAAAATTATTAAATATTATCTAATATTAATTTTTAAATTATTAAATATTTAAAAATTAACTAATATTTATTTTTATAAAATTTAATTAAAAAATATCAACATATAAATATATTTTAAAAACTAATTTTACCATGATGAAATCAAATTATCATATCCAACCTAACAATTTAAAGAGAAATTTGAATTGATTTATCAAAACAAAATATTTTAAGAATGATAGAAATTAAAATCAAAGTAATTCAAATACCAAGAATTTAAAATTTTCTAAATTTGTAAAATTCCTCATCCAAATACACCATAAAAAAAAAAAAAAAAAAAATAAGGAACCATACTTCAATAAACTCTTGAAAGATATTTAGGATTTAGGATTTAATTGTTGCAACAAACTATATTTCAAATAGAAAATTTATATACAGTTCGCACAAGAAAATTAAGCAAGTATATTAAAATATCTTTTCGACTTACAATAATAATTAAACATCATTCCATGGTCAACTATTTTAATAGAATTGACGAGATCAAAAGCTTTTGAAACACAATCTATTTGGCCCATACCACCCAAAAATCAAGAGATCAAAAACTCTTGAAAGACAATCTATTTTGACTTTACCACCCAAAAATCAATGGAACACTGGAAAGAAAGATAATAAACCATACTTCAACAAACTCTTGAAATACAACCTATTCGGACCATCCCATCAAAACACCAAGGGATAAAAAAAACTCTTGTAAGACAATCTATCTGGACCATACCACCCAAAAACCAATGAAACACCAATGAAACTCCAGAAATAGACAATCGATTTGGACCGTACCACCCAAAAACCAATGAAACACCAATGAAACTCCAGAAATAGCTAACCATACTTCAACAAACATAGACGGAAGCCAAAACCTACATAATAAAATGCTTTAATAGATTCATATGATTTTTAGTATTGGTATTTAGGTCTTTAAATTTTTTCTTTAAAAAATTTGTAATTGAATCATTAATTTTCCACAATTTTTTTGTAATTGAATCCTTAAAGTTAATAAAACTCACTAATATCATGAGGAATTATATGGCCAAAGGCCCAAGAGAAGCACCTAACAGACCCTGGTAACTCACATTTAAACATTTATATCAGAAGTTATTTGCTTTGAATAGCACCTTGCAGATGGCGTAGATGATAGGAAATGGTCAGTTAAAGTCCTATGATTCCCATGAAAGGGAATATGAATGAAGTTCTTGATTTTTTTTTATATATATTTATTTATTCGATTTCAAGCTGTTATACTTCGAAAACCTGATTACAAAATTTGTTGAAGATCCCAAACTCAATTATAATTCTTTAAAGTTTAGGGATCCAAATAAAAAATCCTAAAAGTTACCAACTGATGTATTGAACCCAATAAAATCGCATGGCTAAGAAAAAATTAATATTCACTGATAAATACAATCCATCTGGCTCAACTTTAACTGATAAATACAATATAATGTAATCTTTTCAATTATTTGAAGTACAATTGTTGTAGGAAAATTTGAGGATGCTAAAACTAAAGAAATGTGATACTAATCTTGGATACCAAAACAGTTAGTTAATCATCCAAAATTTCATCTAACAAAAATTCATATAAAATCAAGATTTTTACTATGTCTATGCAAATTGCTATCCAAAGTTTCTTCCTTACACTTTTACATTAAACACCTTTGGATAACCTAACCAGCACTAAATTCCACATGAATAAAGTTGTCACGTTCGATTTTCCTTTACACAATTCTCTCAAGAGCACCAAGCAGATTGTCTATTCTCTCAATTTGTATAAGTATCAACTGTAAAGTCTGAGGCTTCAATTCTATGTTGCATATACTTACCTTCCCCCTAGATAGTACAGCATATCAGCCTTTGGGAAATGGTAGCTCTCTGGGGGTTCTGATAGCAATTCATGTCCGTTATTTTATGAGGTTGAATTACTACTGGTTGAAACATCTGGTGTGTGAAATTTTCCAACCTGCAAGTTAAAAGAATTTGAAAAGCTAAGCAAGCCAATCCAGATTATTTGAGATTTTTATCAGACATAATAATTTTCAACATACTTGATCACTGCTTGAACCATCAGCTATAGCTGTCTTCAGCCTTTTCACCATGGGCATGCAGCTTGACCTGGCTTCCTTGTCCTTGAAGTTTTGATCGGTGACCTCTATAAAAAAAACAGAAAAGTTTAGTGATTGAATCAATCCTCTAAAACAAATTTCAGAAGAATATATTGTACAACCTTATTCCCTCCCAATCATATGATACTTAAATAGTCTTGTAAAAATGATTTAAAAGCACATTGGGAAGAAACAAATCTTTGTTCCCACTCAATTCAAGGACAAAAGAGTTCATATTTGATGCAAATTTCAAATCTTGTTATGCATTATTTTACAATATAGTGTTGTTTAAAAAATTACAAGCATTGGATTACTTAACACTGTTCATTCTGTCCATAGAGAACCTAATAGCTCCCTGTTTTAGTTGAGGTATTAATTTACTTCTAACAAAAAGCATAAACATGTAAAAAATGTAACATAAGAATAAATTTATGCCAGTGCATAACGTTCAATTTATACTTACTGAATCCCAGCACCATAAGAAAATTGTGTGAAACCAGTGGTTTGTACTTTGTACAACATGTTGTGACATGGTTCACAAGGACTTAATTAGAGCAGGAGAACAAGAGCTCAGGTATTCTGTAAACCCATTGCATGTACCAGAACAAAGGCTTTACAGAAGAGTAAAGAAATCATCCACATTTAATATCCAACTTTCAGCTTAAAAAGAAACTAAGACATAAATCTATGAAGGTCCACAATCAAAATCTTTCTCTCCTCTTGACTCCACACTCCCCCCCTGGTTTGAAGTTTAAATTAGTATATTTTACACACAGGCTTCAATCACTGCCTTGAAATGTTATTATTCAAAAATATTATCATGTTGAAATTTGAATCTAAATCTATTTCGGCACACATTAAAATAGAATTACAACCACCATTTTAAAATAAGTTTAACTTTTTAAAAATATCTTAAATGCTATGTCATTATGCAATTACATTAAAGAGAATTATAGCTGAAGAACTGATTCGGTATTTCAGTGACAAGAACATGACTGAGATACACAAAAAAGATCATATAGTTATACATAACATGTATAAACACAAGAAAGACGAGGTAGGCTTACTTGTGATTCTTAGTTATTTCCATCTGGATAAAAACATATTTCCTTTTAAATCCATACATGGATATACAATGAAAACCTAAAAAATAAGTTGCTTGGAAAGTCATTATTGCTAGAGTTGTAAACCACTGTCATCAATAGTGGTGTAAATGAGTTGTGTTGTTCACAATTTATTTGAATTTGACTCATTAAAAGCTCGATAAAGCTAATAAACAAACAAACTCAAGGGAGGGTAGACATATACATTCTTACCCCAGCAAGTGGAGAGGCTATTTCTAGGATTTGAACCAATGACCTCCAGACTACATCCTCACTGTTTGTGCCAAGGCACACCCTTTGGCCGGCAACAAATTATTTTAAATATTAACTTCACATTATAACTAGTAATCTTTAACCACAGATCCACGACCAACAGTATATATGAACCAGCAGCTATAAGCTTTTACAGCAGGTAAATTCAGAACTAATTGATACACAGCTTCCTTTATGTCGAGGTTCAAGACAAAGATCATTTTGACCCCATAAAAACTGAGTAATCCCATGTTCTGTGAACTTAAATAACTGAACAAAATAATTTGATTAAGTAACTGCTAATTAAACTATGCATGTATTTTGAGAGAGAAAGGAAAAACATCTTAATACATATGACAGCCGTGTAGGTAACAAGGTGTAAGAAATAATGGGTGATAGAAAGTATCATTATATAGTCTACAGGATAACCAACATGCATAAAGAAAATATATTTCAAGTTACCTGTGGTACTGCAAGCCAAATCTAGGTGGAATGAGCAGCAAATACTTTGCTTCTCTAAACTTCTTGCCGACATGTCAGTAAATGTTGAACTCCCTCTTGCATCCTCCTCACAAACCAACTCATGCTTGCAGGTATTAGGCTCTCTCAAACTACAGCTTCTATCCACAGATGTAAGTTCAAATTGACTTCCTGCAAGAACATGAGAATCAGCTGTGCTCTCTAACATAGGTGAAATTCTTTCAAGGTTGATCTTCTTCTGGCAGCCATCTTGTAGAGCCAGAGACTGAAAGCAACAAAAGATAATAAGGGTTGATTGTGCAGGGAGAAATAAGTACAAAAAGTAACACATATTCACACTACATATGTAATATTTGAATTTATGTCTGACCTGCCTAGGTGGCATATTATGTGAATTTAGCAAAATTCTACATTTATATGTTTCATCAGTACTATTTTTTAAGCTCCAACCACGTAAAAACATAGAATGATGCAGTCCATTCACGAATGAGGCCTCTAGAGAACGAATATATAGATTGTGCTTCTCATCTGTCCATCTGGTCGATTGGTCCTGGAACAAAATTTTGAGCTTAGTTCCTTGCCAACTAAATGAAGAGAAAAGTTTCATCTTCACAAGAAATCATAAACAACAAGGAATACAATTTAATATTGTCAATTTCAAACTATCATATTTATCAGCAACAGCAAGCAAAATAAACTTATATAGATTGCCTTTAAAAACAAGTTATGTTAAGCACCATGAGATTTTAAGTCCATATAGGAACTTAATAATCGGTCTATACGAGTAATAAATTTAATTATAACTCCAATAACCAAAGATTAGATAAACTCGAAACTAAGAGCCAACCAAAACTATTTAAATGATGCATCCACGAAATAATATCTCTCATGATCTATAACTTATAAGTTTCACATTAAACTGTCTAAAGCTTCTTCAAGTATTTCATATCAACTTCCATTAATGCAAAATAAGCATTTCGACATGCATCTGAGTTGATGTTCCAAGGAAAGAATGATATCAGAGAATATTTCCTTTTAAGCAGTAGATACAAACCAAAAGCACACCCATTGGCGCTACAGAAATAAATAATTTACCAAACCAAAAATGCTAAGTGGTACGAATAATTTTGGACAAGGATGCATGAACACACGTACATAATTATACAATTTCACAATTACCTTTCTTTTATTTGTTAAAGAACCAATAAAAAATCTATCTGCCAAATTTCGTCTGATTTTGCGTGTAAACTCTTCGAACTGTATAGCATTGCTCTTACCAAAAAGATATTTCCCAGAAACATCCATTTGTCTTAATTAGACACTTGAGTCATCATACATAATCCACACCAAGCATATATCTTGCTAAGATGTATAACCTAAAGGAATGTTTAAGCGGTCAAACACAAGAGATTTAACAACAAAGTTGAATATAAAGCATCAGCAGTCCAGCATCCACAGTAAAACCTTAAAGAAGGCCAAACTGTATGTTCAATTTCATAACACGATTATTGATTTCAGTTGCTTAACGCTCCTCACTACAATAGCACCATTCTCCTTGTTTCCCCCTGGTTTTAGATTTCAGATATTCTCGACTCATCAAATACTGAATTTAACGAACTAATGTTGGAAACTAACCGGTGAAAGCAATTCAAAGCATAATTGCGCGCTTAAACACCAGAAAAGCAAAGCGCAGAAGCGCTGAAAAGACCTAGAAACCAAACGGCTAATTACAGGCACGGTCTCATCCTGCTACGCGTACACAGAAAGAATCAAAGATCAACCGCTGAACACGCAAGTTCTGACCGCAAAATCGAAGCGAAAGCGAGAAAAAAGGCGAAATCGAAAAATCCATGACGAGGTTCGCACGAGGAATTGTAAAAATAGAAGGCAAAAGGAGGGAAATAAAGTTACCAGAAGCGGAGCGGCCGCGGACTGACGCGAGAGATGTTTGGAGGCGTTGTCGAGCATGACATCGGAGGAGGCGGAGGCGGAGGCGGAGCGAGCGAGCTCCGGCAATGGCTTCGGATCGGAGGAAAACGGCTGCGAGCGGCGACGGAGATCCTCCGGTTCCATGGTGCGTGATCAGAATTTTGGCGGAGAAGAAACCCTCTGGTTCTGGGTTCGGTTGAGGGAAGGGTGTATTCGGGGACGAAAAAGGGTCCACATGGCTTCGCTTTTACACGTGTCAGTGCTGTCGTTGGGGTGCCACGTCATCGGGCAGATAATATCTCGGGGTAATGTGAGCCAGATATTTTGAAGGGTCGTTGGAGAGAGAGCGAGAGAGAGAGAGAGAGAGTGGAGCTTGGGACTTGCCGCCGCAGTTATTGGCGCGTGTAACTCATGCCCTATTTTATCGTATCCGCACATCGCGTGCCTATGCCATCGCTAAGTCGTCATGAACCCTCGTTCATAATCTCATTTAAATTTTCAAAAGCTGACTATTTTTCTAAAAACGCATTTAAGAGTTACACTATTAATTCATATTTATTATATAATTAAGATTGATAACAAATATTTTTATAATTAATATTCATAATAAATTAACTTCACTTCAACTCATGATTCATAAACTCAATTTCCCTTTTCATTTAAAAAAATCTAGGTGATGTTGACTATTAACGTTTATATTTGGATCAGATCTTTTAAAATTAATAATAGTGATTATATAAAAATATTTTTTAATGAAGTGATTATTTAATAATAAATAGGATTTATTTCTTGAAAAAAAATTTACTTTCTTTTTCTTCTTAAAATATCAGTTTAGGCACAACTGCATAAAGAAAAGTAGAAAATAATAATATTAAAATATATAAATTAAAATAGCTATAAGAGTGTTTAAAAATTATTCTTTTGATTAAAGTTTTTTTAATCGAGTTTTTCGGTGATAATGGTTTTAATTTCTTTTCAACGTTTTGAAAATAGATGAAAATATGATACTTGTCCAAACTTATTATTAATAATTCTTATATATATATATATATATATATATATATATATATATGTATATTTATAAATTCATCATATAAATACTTATAAAAAAACAAAACCTTATCCTATTTTATTGCTATCAATATAATAGATGAAAAGTAAGATAAAATTATTCTAATTCTAATATTCTGTTAGTTATCCTTTCCTTCGTTATCCTTTCATAACCAAACGGCTCTTATGTATTGGTGTAATGCATAATGTCAGAATTTGGTCAAATCAATTGATAAAAGAAAGAACACCCAATATGATTTTATAGGATTTTTTTTATAAATAAATATATTTCTTTTAGACACATTTTTTAAATTAACGTATTTGACTTGACTTTTTTATTAAAAAAAATATATATGTAACACATTATAGTTCCTATTCCTACCCCCTCAAATCCCATTTCTCTAGGTAAGATGGATTGCTTTTCATAATTTGTTGTTGACATATCGGGATAGGCCACTGAATTTCTCATAACAAATTTTCTTTTTCTTTTTCTTTTTTATATTTTGATTTTCTAATTCTAGTCTATAAATTTAAGTATTCTTAAAATTAATTTAAATTGTGGAGATAATTAAATAATTAGTGAGTAAAATCATTATCTTATAATTAAATTTTTACTTTGTAGAATTTAGGGATAATATTTTAAAAAAATGGTGACAAATATTATTTGATTAAAATTTAAAATTAAAATTAAATGTAAATAAAAATCAGTAATTGTCAAATGGTATTCAGTTCTATATGGTGGGTGTCGTCTTATATGTCCTATATTTTGACGTTGTTGTCCATGTGTGTTGGATTTAATTTTGTTCATCATTAATTAGTTGTTGTTAATGCACATCATTTTGTGAATTTAAATTGATGAAAAAGAGAGATAATGACTAATGATTTGAACAATCAATATTGAAGTTAGCGGAAGAAACACACAGAATGAGGGTTAAATGTGTGTGAGTGTGAACAAAGGAATTTTAAAAATGTTTTCGCAAGTGGAATCTTCTTTGTCCAATAAAAATGTTATTTTGAATGCTTAATCGAAATTGTGCAGGATTGGTTCAACAGAAGATGTTTGCGTCTGAAATTTTATTGTCTGCACATGAAAATATTTCTTAAACAAAAATGGTTCTTTAGGATAATTATTTAAACAAGTGTGGTTATCGTTTGAAGACAGTTGTAATGGACGATAATCATTGGACGAAGTTTTCAACATGTTAAGTCAACTAAACAAAGGTGCGTCTGAAACATGGAAAATAATGCAAGTGGTTTTATATTGGTTCGCTCAAACTGAGCTACGTCTAGTCTCCTTCAAATGAAGGGTTCCACTAGATATTCAATGAAGTACAAGTATTATTTGTTCAGCCTCTTCAGGTTTGCAGTGAGTATTATAGACCACCCAGGTCACGACCACTCCTAGTCGGCTAACTTCATTAATTGGCTCTAGTATTCTTTAATTAGCCTCTTTAGGCTAGAAGTGAGTATTATAGACCACCTAGGTCACGACCACTCCTGGTCGACCAACTTCACTCATTGGCTCTAGTATTCTTTGTTCAACCACTTCTAGCTCTCAATGAGTATTGTCGACCAACTCCTGGCCCGCTAACTTCACCATTAGCGCTAATATTCTTTGTTCAGCCACTTCTGGCTCTCAATGAGTATTGTCGACCAACTTCTGGCCCGCTAACTTCACCATTAGCGCTAGTATTCTTTGTTTAGCTACTTCTGGCTCTTAGTGAGTATTGTCGACCAACTCCTAGCCCGCTAACTTCACCATTAGTGCTAGTATTCTTTAATCAGCCACTTCTGGTTCTAGTGAGTATTCTTTGATAAGCCTCTCTAGGCTTTACAAGTATTCTTTCCCTAGCCTCTTCAGGCTTTATAAGTAATGGATATGTGATTTGTTTCGAGTGTTTGGTTAACTCTTACAGAGAGGATACAAAGATAATTACACTCACTAAGGTTCATGTTCCTAAGTTACACTTCGAACACCTTAATCTACAGAGATGAATACACTATGGTTCATTTGACTCTAAAAGATCTATCTCTAGTTTTATTTCTTCCTGGGCTTGATATCACACTTCATCTAGCCTGAGCCAGTCTGAACCGAAGCCAACCTTTCAAGGTTTGAAGTGGTGATATATATAGTCTTGAAGAATTTTCTCATTGCAAGTGTCCATTGAAGCAGATGTAATCGTTCATGACTATTTCGATCTTCTCATTTAATGCTTAAGATCTTGCATTAAATGTTGCTTCATGTTCATAGACATTGCGTGAAGTTTTCTTTGCTTTGTTAGCAGTAGTGTCTGAGTTTAGCAAAGACCTAAGAACCTTTTTGTCCTTTTCCGGTCGCATAGCTGTAGAGCGTTGTCCTTCTCTAAAAAAGTAATGTACTTTTTCTAACACATGCATGCTTTTGCTTTTGCTTTTGCGTGCTTTTCTTCTTCTTCTTCTCTTTCTTTAATCACGTTATCATGTTGAGAGCATTTAAATGACCATAGACGATGCCTTAGTAGTCCTTTGAGACTTTATTTTTTAAGTGCTTGTGTGGCAGTCTTCCTCTGCGTTTGTTAGTCTTATGCGTCTCAATTTATAATCTTCGTTTGAGCATTTGACATTGATGCTTTGACTTTCTTTCGGTCTGGTCAACATTGTATATGGACAGACATTATTTTCGTCTGGAATACTTTTTAGTCTGTGTTGTCTTTCGTCTGATGCGTAGTTGACTTTCTTCTAATCTTCGACCAATTCTTCATCTAACTTCTTATGTTGCATTTGAGGTTGTCCTTGACATACCTTTGTCTGATATTAGACTTATAGTTGTCTGGCTCACATATCATATTTTATCTTTTCAGTTGGCTTGGTTTGTCTGATTCTCATGACGTGCCTTGCCTTGACTATTCTTCATCTGAGTTGACCATTGGGCTTCATCTGATGTTTAACCTATTTTTGTCTTGTTCTTGATTTAGTCTTGTTTTGGCCTTTCATCTGATACTTCAAGACTTCGACTTGTAGTAGACCTCGTCTAATGTTTGTTGAATGTTCTTTTGTCTTTTGATCAAACCTAATCTTGTTTCTTGACTAAGTATCATTTGATTTTCTTGTTTAGTTCGTCCAGGCTTTGTAGATCTTGTATTTAATGCATTTGATCTTGCATTAAATGTTTCCTTGTCGAATCTGTGTTACGTGAAGTCTTTTGCACCATTTGTTCACTTTTATGTCTGAATTCAACCATGACCTATGTATATCTGTACTTTTCCTACATTGTAACTGCAAAGGCATTGTCTTTTATTGAATGGTAGGTGTACTTGTTCTGACACACGTAGCTTTGACTTGTGGATTCGCGCTATTCCATTTTTCTTCTCTCTTCTTCTGTTTTTGATGACTTCATGTGTTCTTCTAAGAGTGTGGATGATAAGCAATGCTTCTCGTTGTGACTTAGTGGACTTTAGACGATTTTCAATATTCTTTGTCTGCGTCTAGAATTTAAGTCTCAGTCTGAGAGATAGACTTTGACTTTTCTTTTCGTCTTATGTATATCCATCGTTTGAGGCTTCATTATTTTCCTTCTTGTGCTGGGCTTGGTGTCGTTTGATCTCTTCATCTGATGCCTTGTAACTTTTACTCTTTGTCTTAGTTCTGGTATGGGAAGTTTCACATGCTCCGTTCGTCATTTTGCCTGTACTTATATTTTTCTAAAACACTAACACACTTGTTAGAAATAACATGTATTATATTTGTCTCATTCAAAACTTTACTGGAAATTGCTTCGTCGTCTGACTCAACAAATATCATACAATATAGAGGAGTTACTTACCTCTCACTAGTGAACTAGTGGAATGCTAATTGGTACATACTTTGAAGATAAGCTTGGATTGATTCTAGCATTCTGAGGCTTGCACTAAACAAGAAACAAAAGAGCTTTAATGATTGTCCAAGTTATTTGTTGGCATCTGTTGTGATAGACTAAATGAAAACGAATGATGATCTGGAGATTAATGAGATGGTTCATTGCCTTGGTCATGCATTGTGTCAACAACGACAGGTTGAGTTGCCTAGTTTTAGTGGGTCTTTGTGCATGACATTATGCATTGCATTCAACTCTTGGATCATGTAATTGTTTTTGTACGGATAGATAATGAATTGAATTGACAGAATACCATTCCATATATTGATGCGTGTGCATGAGAGGACCTTGAACATGTGTTTTCACTGAGACTTGTTGCCACCTATTTTGCCAAATATTTAGCCATTGCATGTGTGTTTCAGCCCAATTTTGGTAGTGGTTTCCTCTCATGTCCATCTAGTGTAGATAATCCAAATTTTGTGGTGAATTTGGAAAATA